GCCCTCCAAAAATCTGTTGACAATAACTCTGCCCTCTAAAGCCAGCTTTTACGTGAGCATGGCTAATAATAGCAGAAGCTCCATTGTACAACCATATGAGAGACCCAGAGGCAGAGGCAGAGTCGTGGTCCCAGCTTCTTTTTTTTCCTCCCCCTCCTCTGCTCTGCGCTCACTCTGCATGCTGTTACCAGAGCAGGGAGCAGCAGCGGTCAAAATACCTCAGAAACTCGAACAAATAGGCTTTAATAAGCTAAACAATAGAGGTATATGAGAAAACGTGTTCATAACGAATGAAAATAAATAATCAAGTTGTGTCCATGCCGGTCTCAAACCCTATTTTCCCACTCTCTGGTCCAACACTCTACCCATTGCCCTATTGGAGGCTTGTTGTGAATTGAGCTGCGCATTGCACAACAACAACTGTGACGGCTTTTTATACTGAGGAGGTGGAGCTTCACCCGGGGGTTGCTAGGGTAAGGGGCTGAACGCAGGTTCTGGTGGGTTGTCGTACAACTTGTGACATCACAAAATGACAGAAGTATAAAACTTGTCGTTAATATACATTAAAAATACATTAAAAATACATTTACTTACAGTAAATATGCCCCTGGGTGCATTTTCTTTGGTCCTGGGACTGTTTTTTTTTAAGAAGTACATACCCAAAGTTGAGTAAAAAAACTTTAAAAAGTGAATTTTGCATAATAGGTCCCCTTTAAGTGTATTTATTTAGTGGTTCGTATAATTCTGCTTTTATTTATAATGATGTCTGTTTTGGTCCTCCGTATTGCAGAAGCCTGATAATCATCTATTCATTCACATCAGGTGTGTTGGAGCAAAGAAACAAGTAAAACGCAGGGCTGCGGCCCTCCAGGACCAGGATTGCCCATGCCTGCTCAATTATGTGCTGTTCTGTTTTATTTTATTTTAAAGCACTTTGTGGCTACTTGGCTGTAAAAAGTGCTAAGCAAATAAAGTTTGCTGATGTGAGTTTAACTCAAATCAAACACAAAAGTGTCTTATTTCCAAACAAGCAAGTGCAAATGTGACTTGCTTGTCATTATTTTTAGAACAATATTTGATTATGACCAGTGATGAAAACAAATGATTCAGTGTGGTTGTTTTGCAAGAAAACCACAGCTAACTGATGCCATAAAGCAATTCATAAAAAATAAAAAAGGCTAATTATCATTCACCGTAAGAGACAAAAGGACAATTATGTTTTTATCTGTGTTCACTTGTTTGTTAGCAAGATAAAAGATGAACCACTGGACAGACTTATAAATAAAACAAATTCAGAAAACATTCACTGGATTTATTTGCTAATGGTTTATTTAACCATTTAACCATATTTAACCAACCATGGTTCATTTAACTGTGATGGACTTGCGACCTGTCCAGTGTGTACCCYGCCCCTCGCACTGTGACTGCTGGATATGGGCACCAGTGACCCACGCGACCCTGAAAAGGAAGAAGCGTGTACAGAAAATGGATGGATGGATGGTTTATTTAACCAGTCAAATCCCATTCAGATCACTTTTGCAAGGGAAGCCTGGGCCAGAAGGCTAACTATTGTACATGCTTTTGGTTTGTGGGAGGAAACCAGAGGACCTGGAGAAAACTCAAGCAAGCATGAGGAGAACATGCAAACCTTGCACAGAAAGACCCCGGGTCTGAAACAGAGTTTGATCCTATGAGGCATCTGTGCTGACCACTGAGCAATCGTGCTGCCCAGGATGTTTATTTACAACTGAGCCTCTTGGAGCCAATCCCATTGCAAGATGGCCGACATAGCCAGCTGACTTTAGAAAACACAAAAATGGCCACAACTCAGTTGAATTTACAGACATGGAACTAAAATATGGAGAACCGAAACTATCATATTTAAAAATAAAAGCAGAAAGAAAAAAAGTGGCCCAATAAATAAGTAAATACGCCTAGCCTTCAAATATAAACGGTCAAAGAAAACATTTTTATTTTTAAGAAACTTTGCATAGTACACATGATTTTACCCATTTTTGTCACATAACTAGCATATTTTCTTTTGAATTTGGTACAGCCAAAGTGAAACAGGAAGTGACATTAAAGGGGAACGCCTTAAAAAAAGAACTCTGGTTTTTGTTTATTAAAACATTATTTGAACTCTGACTCCTCTTTTTCTCTCAAAATAACTCAAAGAAGCATCAGATTCTTCTCTACATCTGATGCATCAATGCTCTGTTCACATGCAGACATTCCCCTTTGACATCACTTCCTGTTTCTTCACATGCAAATATCTCAATAGCTGCTCATCTCAACGGTGTGAAACTGGTTTTGTACTAGTTTATCAAAGTTATCTTTCAAAAAATGCATTCATATTTATTTTAAAAAATGTGATGTCACAGGCACTTTAAAATGCACAAGTTAATTTAAAAAACTTGATATATTTCTGCTTTTATTTTTAATTGTCAGTTTTGATCCTCCATACTAAAATTTGACGTGGTTGCAGCTGAAAGTCATCCTTGAAATATTCACTGCATGTGAGTTTGACCAAAACAACTCCAGCTCCAACACCCAGATTATTAAGATGGTTTAATTTTGTAACTCTAGCAGGAAAGGGAGACATTCAGTACCAGGCTACTGATTATTTGTGAACCATCATATTGAAATGAGGATTCAATCAAATGTGGTCAAACTGGCCTAATTACATTTTCAGATTCCTGCATTAAAAGCTTCATTTTGATCCCTGGATCATTCTGATATCATAAGCTTATTCAGAGATACGACTTAATTTGTCTTGTTGGTTACTATAATACATTACTGTTTGGTCTGAATACTAATTTTAGTCATTTTAAATGTCAATATAAAGAGGAAACCTCAAGTGGCATTTGTATTGAGATTTCCCAGTTGGAAAGAAACAAAAATATTGCTAGCTCACAGTGAAAAATTTCTAAATTTTAAGGTGTTTTTCCTCAAAATCAGTTTTGTTGTTGTTGCTGCTCAARAAAATGCTTCAAAAACATTTTTAGGATTACATTTCAGACAGTTCAATAAAATGATACATTGATGAGGCATTAATTCATTATATTTTGACAAAATGCAATATTTGCACACATCTAATTCACACATCTACATTCCACTTTTGGATTTAATCCATGTTTTGATATGACGGGTCACAYTTATGTATTTAAATAAAGTCCTCACAGGTAAACAGGTTCACACTGAAAATGAAAATGAGAAGAACTCCATCGTGTAGTTTCTAGATTTATCTCTTGTGGTCGCAGCAGCAAAACTTTGCAGAAGACTGCACCAACATGCATGTGCCACAACCTGACATATCTGTACCAGCTGGTTGAAAAGTTACAGTGTGACATGTGGGGGGCAAGGAGGGGGC